GAGTTACAGTTTATATAAGGAAATCAGTCAATTTAATTAAATACATTAGGCCCTATTCTATGGATTACACGACTGGGAATACAGATATACATATGTTGGTCACAGATACCTTTAAAAAAAGGTAGGAGTATGGATCAGAAAACCAGTCAGTATCTGGTGTGTCCACCATTTGCTTCATGCAGCGTGACACATCTCCTTATCATAGAGTTGATCAGGCTGTTGATTGTGGTCAGTGGAATGTTGTCCCACTCCACTTCAATGGCTGTGCAAAGTTGCTGGATATTGGCGGGAACTGGAACACGCTGCCATACATGTCAGTCCAGACCATCCCAAACATGCTCAATGGGTGACATGTCTGGTGAGTATACAGGCCATGGAAGAACTTTGACAATTTCAGCTTCCAAGAATTACGACGGGCTGTGCATTATCATGCTGAAACGAGGTGATGGCGGCGGATGAATGGCAGGACAATGGGCCTAAGGATCTGGTCACGGTATCTCTTTGCAATCAAATTGCCATCGATAAAATGCAATTGTATTTGTTGTCCGTAGCTTATGCCTGCCCCATACCATAACCCCACCGACACCATGGGACACTCTGTTCACAACATTGAGCAAACCGCTTGCCCACACGACGCCATACACTCTGTCTGCCATCTGCTTCCCTGAGACGGTTTCTGACAGTTTGTGCAGAAACACAGTTTCATCAGTTGTCCAGGTGGCTGGTCTCAGACGATGGTTACACGTGGTCTGTGGTTGTGAGGCCGGTTGGACATTCTCTAAAACGACGTTGGAGGTGGCTTATGGTAGTGAAATGAACATTCAATTCTCTGGCAACAGCTCTGGTGGACATTCCTGCAGTCAGCATGCCAATTGCACGCTCCCTCAACTTGAGACATCTGTGGCATTGTGTTGTTTAACAAAACTGCACATTTTAGTGGAATTTTATAGTCCCAGCACAAGGTGCACCTGTGTAATGAAGCTGTTTAATCAGCTTCTTGATATGCCACACCTGTCAGGTGGATGGATTATTTTGGCAAAGGAGAAATGGTTACTAACAGGGATATAAACACATTTGTGGGAGAAAAAAAAAGAGAGAAATAAGCTTTTTGTGCATATGAAACATTTCTGGGATTTTTTATTTTAGCTCATGAAACATGGGGCCAACACTTTACATGTTGTGTTTATAGTTTTGTTCAGTATAATGAAAATGAAGTACATGCTTCCAGCCCAACTTCAGCCAGCTGGAAGCAGGTGGATTTGACTGTTCGGCCATCATGACAAAAGGCCATCCGCGTTGATGCACAGTTCACTGAGAAATGATAGCCAGCAAGGCTACTTGAAATTAAATGGAAGCCCCCTATCAAGGCTTCACATTATAAACCATCTGTGATTATTTCTTGCAGTTGCACACATCAAAAAGTTGAATCCATTACAAATTAGATGTGTTCCTCCTATTCCAGATGACAGAGTCATTGCATTGCAAGAGATCACCATTCCAAAGGGAATGGAGGCCACTACAGTTAAACAGGTAAGCAGAGTGGTTCAGCAGTAGGCCAAATTGTCAGGTCAGGTTTCTCCCCGGTACTAATAGCTCTCTCGCTCTCTTTCTCTCTCTCTCTCTCTCTCTCTCTCTCTCTCTCTCTCTCTCTCTCTTTCTCTCTCTCTCTCTCTCTCTCTCTCTCTCTCTCTCTCTCTCTCTCTCTTTCTCTCTCTCCTTCAAGATCATAACACATTCGTTTGGATTGAATTCTGCTAATGTGACACAGACATTTAAGGTATGCCATATTTATTTTTATTAAGTTCTGATTCTTAAAAATCATTCTTAAAAGATTGTACCATGTACTGTAAACTGACTGACACTATTATAATGTATCCCTTACCAAATGATGGCATATTTCTAGATAAGAAACCACAAGGGCTGTCTGATTCCATTCAACAGCTCTATACCTGTGAACAGCAAGCACATGTAAGTACTGCAACATTCAGTATGTTACTGTGAGCCAATCATTTTCTAAAATGTGTATTGCATAATGTAAAAAATATATATATTCAAGAGTAATTCATTCTATCAGTGCATAACATTAATGTCAATATATTCTGATTCATAGGCCATATGTGCTGGAAGTGGCAACAATCTTTCAGCATGGTACACATTTAACTTATATCCTCACATTTCACATTAAAATAACATTAAAATAACAGATATACGGTGAGCTACAAAAGTATTGGGATAGTGACTTTTTTTGGGGGGGCTCTGTACTCCAGCATTTTGGATTTTAAATGATACAATGACTATGAGGTTAAAGTGCAGACTGTCAGCTTTAATTTGAGGGTATTTTCATTCAATTTCTGTACATAGTCCCCCCATTTTAGGTGACCAAAAGTATTGGGACAAATTCACTTATACACTGAGTGTACAAAACATTAAGAACACCTTCCTCTGTAGCTCAGCTGGTAGAGCACGGCGCTTGTAACGCCAAGGTAGTGGGTTCGATCCCCGGGACCACCCATACACAAAAATGTATGCACGCATGACTGTAAGTCGCTTTGGATAAAAGCGTCTGCTAAATGGCATATTATTTATTATTTATTCCTAATATTGAGTTGCACCCCACCTTTTGCCCTCAGAACAGCTTCAATTTGTCAGGGCATGGACTCTACAAGGTGTCGAAAGCTTTCCACATGGATGCTGGCCATTGTTGACTCCAATGCTTCCCACAATAAAAGTGACTGCAAAATGACACAATACATTATTTACCATTAATTTCTATTGGGCACAAAATAATCTGAAAGACAACCAAAACAAACAGCAAGTGCATCCAACAAGTATATAGTCACAAGCTTGATGTAATCATTGCATGCTAGGAATATGGGACCAAACTAAACTTTTGACTACTTTAATACACATGTAAATACATTTGCCCCAATACTTTTGGTCCCCTAAAATGAAGGGACTATATACAAAAAGTGCTGTAATTTCTAAACGGTTCACCGGATATGGATGAAAATACCCTTAAATTAAAGCTGATTGTCTGCACTTTAACATCATAGCTATTGTATAATTTCAAATCCAAAGTGCTGTAGTACAGAGCCAAAACAACAACAAAAATGTGTCACTGTCCCAATACTTTTGTAGCTCACTGTATATTATACAGTATTTCAAATATATGTTGTTTCCCTTCTTGTTAGAATGCGTGATTGATGTTGTGTGGTGTATTTGTTGATTCTCAGTCATTCCAAAACCAAGGTCCATTGCCATGACAGTAATCAATAAAAGTATGCGAACAAGACTACAGAGTGTTGTTAGAAGGGTAAGACAATATTTCTAAGGGCTTTCTATATTCATAATTCAGAGAGCAATAAGCATTGATTTGTCATTATTATTATTTATTTTTTCAGATAGTGAGACTTGAAGAACTGTTTCCTCAGATTAAATTAAGACGCCATGAGAAAATTTATCAGGTATATAATAAGAATCCATCATATTGTACAAAAAAAAAGTATAAAAATGTATGCACTCACTAATGTAAGTCGCTCTGGATAAGAGCGTCTGCTAAATGACTCAAATGTAAAATATTGAACCATAGTATCATCATACATGTAAATGCATGTCGGCTGAATTATGTTTTTATTTTAATAGGAAATAGAGTTGATGAACCAACAGTTGAGATTTCTTCATAAAAGAATGCAGGTAAGCATAAGTATTGCTTATGACAAATATAGGCAGAATTTTTTAAAAATGAATGTTGATTTTCTGTTACTGCATATAGGATGAGGGTTTACTTGAATCGAGCACAAAGAGGTGTGTACCACAAACAGTCAACTTGCTTTGTTGCATTCAGATTGTGTTTTATATAGATGCAATTATTATGTTTCAGATGGCTGATTCTCACAGCTGGATGGGGATGTTCATCAGAACCCCTATGTGGTAGAAGAAAACACCTAGGCCCAACATGTGTTTTATGTATTTTCCATTTGTTTATACTGTCAACTTTACCATTCCCATGTGAGAAGATAAACAATGGTAAATCTGGTTAATGTATACCTATTATGACATTCTATTATCTGATTTTATCTGTAGTGTAGCATATCTTGAAAATGTAAGATAGTTTGAGTGGTATAGAAATTAGATTTGCTGTTGGATATACTTGGGAAAACATTTTCAACCTTTCGCCACAAACTTTGTTCACCCCCAAAAATAAAACTGAGTTTTGTGTTTTGGGAACAGTAGTTCCAACTAGCCTGGGTACCAACCAGTCTGTTTGTGCAATCATTCCACTCCTTAACATGACAAGGGGAGTAGAATGATCACACAAAGACTAGTTCCAAACCACTTATGAGGTATGAAACTATTGGCATGATGCTTTAGTGCTTTGCTACATGATTGTGCAACATTGCCATCTCCATTACTGATTAAATAAAAAAAACAAGAGGTTTGTGTCAACTTTATTGATTTAGGGGGGGAAATAATTCATGGGATTTTTCCTGTGAAACTCAGGTTCTCAAAAAGTACCAAAATAAAAGTTACTAAAATATGTTGTGTTAACCCTTTAACTGGACATGTAAGTCAAGCGTACAAAGATACATGAGAAGTGAGGTGCTTTTGTCCCATGAATAGTTTTACGAAATCCATCAAAAGCATTTGCTAAACTTGGACCATAATTAAATTTAAGGCAGTGTTGCCACCATCTTTATGCGCAAACCAAGTCATGAGACAAAGGTAGACATTTAAATAGCATCGTGGCCATAACTCAACAGAGCAGGTTGGCAAATGTTGGGGGGGAATCTGTGAATGCAAGGAATGTAAAACGTATTCATTAAATACAGCTAGTACAAAATGTTACATGAATTGAATCATTTCAAATCTATCGAACTGTTGAAGAGAGGAGTTTCAGTGTTCTTTGCCTAAGGGGATATTTGCCTCATGCAAACAGTGATTGTCCTTGTAAAGTAAGTAGACAAGATGTCACTCGTCACATTATATAACATTTAAAAAAATGTATTTTTATGTAATTACAGAATGGTGTCAAGAGTATGCACCAAATGTCACATTGATCCACAATTACAAAGATGCATTTCTTCAATCAACAAATATTGAAAATTATATACATAAAGGGCATGGGTGACAAAAACAGTACACTAGGATTCACAGGACATGTTTCCAATGGGACAGTTAAGCAAAATCAATAATTACAAAGAGGCCGTTTTATTTTATACTTTCTCTGCGGTCTCGGGACATTAAACTAAAACTCATCCTATCCCAGAGACCATGGTCTAAACTTTTCAGAGATGGGAAAGTTCTGGCTTGTGAAAAGGACTGGAGCTATTATTGTACTTGTTGGCAGTTCTATTCGCTTTTTGACTTTTTGCTGTCATTCCCGTTCTTCTCTGGGACAATCTCTTCAGGCTTTCTCTTCTTGGTGCCGTCGGCCATGCTGTTGCCAGGGTAAGCGCTGAACGTTATGATGATGCAGGTCATGTTGTCACAGCCTGTGCCATCTCCAGATGTATCAGGTGCCAAGCAATGGTCAAGTAGCTACGGAGACAAAATAAAGTTTGAGAGCGCTAGTTCATTGTTAAATAAAGAATGAGAAATGTCATGATTACAGAGGAGTGATGGATCTCAGGTACATCAACTGAGGTGTCCCTACATAATAACAAAAATAAAGAAATATCTTACTTCTTCAACTATGGAGGATAGAGGCCTGGCAGCATCATCGGCATTAGTCTTTATTCTCTGACTGACAAAGTCTACAACCTCCTGACTGCTCATGACGTTCCTGTGGATGACACTCATTAATGAAGGGAAATTTAGCTGTGGATCCATTTCACACATTGATTATTGAAGTATGGCCTAATTTAAGAAAAAAAAACGATCAAACGAGCTATACCAGATTCCGTCGCATGCAATGATCATGAAGTCGTGCTCTGGGTTGAGGGTGAGCACTTTGACGTCAGGCATTGAGGAGATCATCTGCTCCTCTGGGCCAAGGGCCTTGTTTCGTTTGTAAAAGTGATCGCCTGAAAACACAAAGGCCATTCAGTTATGTCCTTTCAATCTGATGTCTTTTCTTAAAACAGCAAGTTTTTTTTTTCTGGAAACAATGCCTGATTATTCAAATCAAAACAAATGCCAGGGCTAGGAAATGCAGGAGGAGGATCAATTTACCGATGGCCCTGGAGAGGTTGAGTCCTCCGTTGACACGCCCGTCCATGGTGACCTTTCCCCCAGCATTCTTTATCCTGGCCAGCTCCAGCTCATCCTCTGGCTTGTGGTCGTAGGACATGTCTATGGCCTTGCCCTTCTCAGACACCACACAGCGAGAGTCGCCGGCATTTGCCACAATCAGCTGTTTCCCTCTGATCAGAGCCACCACTGCTGTAGTGCCACTGTCTGCGCCAGGCTGGAGGGAAAATACGGGGGGGGGGGGGGGGGGGGGGGCACAGTGAGCTTTTATCTGAGAATAGCCGCCTTCAGTTTAAAGGGCCTGTGATTAACCCACCACACAGCTAGGGAGATTCATCCCAGAATAATATTTTGCATTTAGTGAGGCATAGAAAGTAATCTCTACTTCAGATAGACACAAAAAGCCCCATTACAACCTTTCAACAACCAGGGCTACTAAAAAAATCATTTTAATAAAGCGCTCTCCATTCAAGGTTTTAAGTTTCCCTTAGGGTCTAAATTAAGCTGAGTGTATTCTACCTCTTCTTTTCCGTCCATTCCAGGGTAGCACATCTCTTCATCCTCTTCATCCGAGTCCTCCCCCTCTTCAGTGTCTTCTTCCTCTTCCTCGTCACTGTTTTCACCTTCATCTTCCTCACTGCCATCCTGTAAAAACAGTATTACATCAGTAACGCACATAGCATTCCTTCCACAATTACAAACAGGTTTTAAACGGTTTAATTGTTGAAAAATCCAGTGGGGGAAATCTATGAACAGCAAATATGACAGTTACAGCAGAGGTGCCCAACCCTCCTCCCGGAGAACAGTCATTCTGCAGGCTTTTGCTCCAACCAGAATCTATCACAACTGATTCTACCAATAGCTGCTCACCAGGACCTTGATTAGCTTAATCAGGAGTGTAATAACTGTGTTTGGGCAAAAGCCTGAATACCCAGTAACTCTTCAGGCAAAGGGTTGTGCACCAGAGTTAGAGTAACAGGAACTTAACTCCTGAAGGCGAATTCTTCCTCCTCACCTCCTCTTCGCTGCCCTCCTCGTCTTCCTCTTCTCCTGACTCCTCACTGTCCTCAAAGAACTTGGAGCTGGTGTCTCCCGGAGCCGGAGCTGCTGAGGAGGAGCAGGAGGGCCCAGTTTCCTTCTCTCCTTCACAGGACCCTGCTGCTCCTGCCACTGAAGAGCTGTCCCCTCCTGCTCTCCTGCAGGCCCGCAGCTTGGAGAATCCCGCACCACCAGCTGCACTTCCAGCACCATCAGCCTTGGCCTTCCGATTGCTGTCCATCTCATTCTCCACTTCCCCGTTGATGCCCTTCTCCCCATGGGAATGTGGTTCACCTTCCCCAGACTCTTTTTTGCCCTCCGGACAGAGTTTCTTGTGTTTAATCGCATTGAGGTTCTGTCCATAGCGGACAAGCAGCTCTTCAATGGTCAAGGTGGCCTCTTCGTGCAAAAGTTCTGCCTCCTCATTGTCCACTAACAGACGGAAAGGAACACATGGGTTTGAATCACAAATTATTTGTTTTGAATAAAGCACTAGGAATGACAACTACATATGACACTTGGTCAGTTGCTGCAGTCTACTCACAATCATCTTCTTCAGCCACTTTTTCATTCGGTGCTTCCTCTTGTGGGCGGCCAGCTATCTGAACAAGCTCTTTGATCACTTCCTCTGTGGTCACCCTGCTATCAATGGCCAGAAATGCATCCTCCAAAGCCTGAAACACATCGACATGCATCCACCCACGTAAGACAAAATGTATGCTGTTATGGAGTAGAGTTTATCAACAAATACTAGAGCTACTTAAACCAAAGTTGGTAGTTACTCACTTCTAACAATTTGAGATTGCACATTGTTTATTGGGTATGCCTTCTATATACAATCTTACATATATGCAACAGGTTCAATTGTCCATGTCAAGAGGATTCCCTTCCCTACCCCAAAGGCATTCTTGCACTCACCTTTTGCAGTTTGCCATCTTTGTAAGTCTTCTGTTCCTTAATGATATCAGGAAGGTACTTGGAACAGTACAATGCTACTTCCTCACCTGAGAAAGCAAGTACTGATTACTTAGAATAACTAACTTAATAGTATCCGGTATTAACAAAAATAACATATGTTCAAGGTATGCTCAAAAAAGTTAATATTCAGGATAAAAAGAACAGTACCTCCATGTCCATCATACACAGCAAACATGGCCGTTTCATCATCCAGTTCTGGAATGCAGTTGTGAGCATCCTGTTGAAAGAAAGAAACGTTCCTCTCATGGAATGCCATTTCTATGAGCAGTATAACAATAGCTACATCATAGAAATCAGACAAGTGCCACTTGAATGTGAAAATGTATTAGGATGCATTTGCATTGTTAACGTTAATGGCCCAGTCTTGTCCATCTTACAGTTATCTATATCAATACATACAGGAAAGCTAGCTAGCTACATAGTTTTGTAGTTAGCCAACAATCTGGTTAGCCACAAACAAAAAGTATTCCTGCGCAACTAAAACTTAGCTAGCTGGTCAATGTTGAAGTCGGTAGTTATTAAGCCACGCATTTAATGGTTGGAATCATATAGCTAATCCAAGTTTTATATGTTTGATAACGTGTTGCCCATTACTGACAACTACAATACTTTTTATTGTTGTCTGAACCAAATCATGTCGTTAGCATTCTGGCTAACTGGTAGCTAGCTGATAGCTAGCTAGTTGGCCAATACACTGGCAACGAATGGCTGCTGAATCCAATCCAGCTAGCAATTTGATTAGACCATTTTACCTCCATAGAGACACGCCAGCCCTGCATGGCCGCAAAGCCATAGCTCATCTTTTGGTTTCCCCCATTGGAAGAGGACTTCACTGTGTTGGGTTGCGACAAGTAAGCTCCCATGATGGACCAACAATGGGTTTCAACTTCGTTGGTGTTGGAAAATCCGATGTAGCAGGAAAAAAACAAGGTGATGAAAATAAATTAGACAGATGCTCCAACTTCACCTTACAGTTCCTTATATCATGCAGTAGAGTATAAACATTGCAATTGTGTGACAAAGGGCCAAAGGCTAGTTAGCCGGTTTATTGCTAGCTTGAAAGGGCTATCTAACGACTGTTAGCTAACGTTGGCTAGGCTAACAAACGAACATAGACACCGTTCTTACTCGTAAACTACATAAGGCAAATGGGACACCATCAACCGGAAGATAATACTTGCTATCAAAACAGTTTAGGCTTAAAAGTCCCAATTTTAACATTTAACAGGAAAATACCAACACGTGTAACTGCAAACACAACAGACCTCTCAAAAAGAAGCGGATACATAAGAGAAGCGGAAACGATGTGATGAATGAGAAGTGCGCATGTCTACTTGTGAGCAGGGGCGTTCAGAAAGGGCGCCAAAACGTTAGTTGTAGAGAACGCGTACGTCCACGAGGTGTCTCCAAAGCCACCGTTTCTAATGTGGACAACAAACGTTGGAGTGGATCCCTATATCATTTCCCCGTTTCCTTTCCTTTTAACATAAAAAAAGGCGACAGGCAGCAGTATCGTAAATTCATGTTTAGTTATTTAATCAGTAGACACGAAAGAGAGGATAAATACCCAAGCATACATAACAGTAGGTGGGGGAAAACAAAGTAGATTTATTGCCGCTATCTTGTCCTGTGCTGTTGGTATTGCTGGTATTGTTTTTGTGTAACTATTCTAACCCCCTATGCACACTCAAAAAGGATCATTGACAAAAATAAAAAAAAGTTTAGGAAAAAATTGAATTGAGTAAGTTTTCTTCAAATACTGAGCCTTTCCTTAAACTTTTACAACATTTGAGATTCCCCTCCTCTCGGGGTAGATTGTCCTGTCCTGTGAACGGGAACAAACACACTCGCACAGTCGTGAAGAACGCTCGACAGTGCCTCTTCCCCCTCAGTAGGTTGAAAAAGTATGGCATGGGCCCTCAAATCCTGAAAAGGTTCTACAGCTGTACCATTGAGAGCATATTGACTGGCTGCATCACTGCTTGGTATAGCAATAGCACCGCCCTCGATCGCATGGCGCTACAGGGGGTTGTGCGGACAGCCCAGTACATTACTGGGGCCGAGCTCCCTGCCATCCAGGACCTCTATATCAGGCGGTGTGAAAAGAAGGCCCAGAAAATCGTCGAAGGCCCCAACCACCGAAGCCATAGATTATTTTATCTGCTGCCGCACGGCAAGAGGTACCGGTGCATCAAGTCTGACACCAACAGGCTCTTGAACAGCTTCTATCCCCAAGCAATACGACTGATAAATAGCTAACAAAATAGCTACAGGGCCCTACACACTCACACACACTGTCTCTCCAACACACACACACACACACACACACACACACACACACACACACACACACACACGCACAAACACTCACTCCATCATTTTCTCACTCACACATAATATGCACATACATTTATACTGACTCTACACACCCGCACACCCACTCACATGTAAGCTGCTGCTACTCTGTTTATCTTATATCCTGTTACCTCTATACATATCTAGCTCCAGCACTCCAGTATCCCTGGAACTGACTTTTTAATTATTTCCTGTGCATAGTATACTTACTTAATTGTGTATTTTATATTTCTTATTCATACTTATTGTATTATTTATTTTTTTCTAGTAATACATTGTTATTGATTATTGCCTTGTTTGGTTTTGAGTTCGTAAGAAAGGCATTTCACTGTACTTGTGTATGTGACATTAAAACTTGAAACTTGAAACTTGAGTCAGTGGAGCCTCAAGGGGTCACCTAGTTCGTCATTAAACACAGGGGGGAGACACACACCAGTGCTCAGGTTGTTTTTGCCAGAATGCCAAAAACCTGCTGGTGGCCAATAACACCTCAAAGCCTTTCATCATGTAGGAGTTAGATATGTCTGAGTAACAAATACTAATGTCAATGTGTGAGTCACATTGATCTGATTCTGATTCTCACATTCAAAATCACATTTCTGATACATCACATGCCTTACTTTTATTTTACTGCATAAGTAAAAGCAGCAAATGCATCACCTATGCCTCTACTGCCATTCATTCCAATTAGACTGGTTGTGGATTTCTCCCTGACCAAGATGGCTGCCATTTTCGCCCCATTATGGAACTTTGATGGTTTATGACATAGCCCCTCCAGTAATTTAATAGGATCTCTATGGGCTAGAGGCTTAGCAGGTCATATGTGTTTAAAGACCGTTGCTTTATCTCTACACAAGAACAACACAAAGTTTTAAACATGGAATGCATTTGTGGTTAGTCTTTTAAAAGTACTTATATAGTCTTATAAAAAGGTCCCGTAAAGTAGGCTAATTGTCCTTTAGTTTTGACACAGCGTAACTTGTAATGTGGAAATTGTTGTTTATTTCAACACTGCTTTATTGACGACAGTGACGTTCGGTGCTGTTTACTATTTTTTTTATGAGCATGGTCTTATTTTTTAAAATTACAGCATATTGAATGACTGTCATTCATATTCCATTCACCCAGCTCAATGTCACATCGATAGGTTTAGGCTACTACATGATACTCACATTTTCCCTGTACCCATCATGAGGTTGCTACAACCTAGCCTATGAATGAAAGTGGTGCACAGGTCGAGAGAATTTTGAGTAATCAAGGTGACAGACTAACACATTCAATACCGCCTTGCACACTCTTGCCTGCATCTAGCTGATCTAGGGTGTAATCATTAGTCCAACAGTTGCAAATTAGAGTTTCTATTGGACAAATTCAGGTATGTATGTCCCTGTTTCGTTCCGTTTGCTTCTGTTTAAGAAACGTTTTTCACAGTTTACTTTCATAGCAGCCACATAAAAACAGCACGTTCACTTTGCTGGTTGTATATATAATTCCTTATCATTAATATCTGTGCACTCTCCTCCTCTCACTTTTTCCCTTCGCTTGTGGACTTCAGTGCACAACACATCAGCTGTATGTGACCAGGAGCAAAAAACCTTTCCAATCCTTCATATCATGACCGCTAACAGCTACACACAGCCTAAATCATTGTAACGTCATAGCAGGGATCGCAACGTTGGTTTTAGAAGTGGGGGGGACATAGTCGGATAAACACTCCAAACAGCCTACCTGACCGCTTGGAGGCATCTGCATGGTCCTAAAGCACATCATTGCCTCATTTTGCATCACATTTCAATGATAAAACTGGAGGTGACAAGAATGCAATTTCAGAATGTCCCCTCCATCCCCAGTGAAAGTTGTGCCCCTGAGTCATAGTCAACATACTAGAACTAACGCGTTAGTAAACCCGCTAAAATCATGCAGTTCAGTGTACAGTCAGAAAGCAGTTTAGCAGTTACACCGGCGGGCCCCGGTGGCAATAAATTAATAAAACCAAAAGCTTACCTTGACTTGCATTCGCAATTGAAAGTGAAAGTAAATAAAAATACAACAAATATATCTCTCTCTCTCTCTCGCGTCTCCTTAATTTTGGAAGAAATGTATTTGTTCAAAACTGTTCAACTATTGTTTTTCTCTCTTTGTGTCAACTACTCACCACATTGTATGCACTGCAGTGCTAGCTAGCTGTAGTTTATGCTTTCAGTACTAGATTCATTCTCTGATCCTTTGATTGGGTGGACAACATGTCAGTCAATGCTGTAAGAGCTATGATATGTTGGAGGACTTCCTCCGGAAGTTGTCATAATTATTGTGTATGTCTATGGAAGTGGGTGAGAACCATGGTGAGAACCTAGTGAGAACTAGGTTTTGTATTGAAGTCAATGTACCCAGAGGAGGACAGAAGCTAGCTGTCCTCCGGCTACACCATGGTGCTACCCTACAGAGTGCTGCTGAGGCTACTGTAGACCTTCATTGCAAAACAGTGTGTTTTAATCAATTATTTGGTGACCTGTGAATATATTTAGTATAGTTTTATCTAAAAAGGATACATTTATTAATGTTTCACTATTTTATTTTTATTAAATTCACTGAGGCGGATGGTCCTCCCCTTCCTCCTCCGAGGAGCCTCCACTGATTGACGAATTGATGTCCTAAAAAGTGAATCTAGAAAGAGAGACCAAAAAACAACAAATTATATATATTTTTAAACAGCCATTGTTTACCCCCAAAGTCTTCTAAAATGGGTTTGTCCCTTATGTCTGTTGAAAACTGGGGGTCCCTGCTGTGATTGACATTTGGAAAGGGGCAAGTCCAGATGGAGAGGTGTGAATCTGTGAGAACTGCTCTCTCAGAGATGGGGGATGAAAGAATTACTCCTTCAACTGCTGAGTCACAGAGAGCTCTGGATTGGATTGAGACAGCAGCTGATGTGTATCAACACACACACACGTATATGACTCCTACATGATACGAGTGTCAGACATTGCTCCATGGTAAAATAAGTCCTAACTGGAGTGTGACAATCTTTTTTAAATCATGATATTGACACACCACTATCGGTGGCCTTGATTTAGCATTCTTGTGTATTTGGGATAGACTTATGAGTCTTGTTTATTTGGGATACATCTCGAGTGTGTCTTCCAAAGAGCCGTCATTGTAAATAAGAATTTGTTCTTAACTGACTTACCTGGTAAAATAAAGGTTAAAAAAAATAAAACAATGCCTGCAGCTGTCAAAAAGACAAGTGGGTAAAAGAAGTCTACTTGGGTGTCCGTAATTATTCATGGGCATCCCTATCCCCCGGCGGCTGATAAGATAGAGGCCTAATCAGGGTTGGGGAGAGTCTTAAGTCCCCCCTTTTTGCATATGCAGAACTCTAAAATGTATTTGCGCAATTTGGGGGATTAAGAGCGAACAAGAGTCCCCTCTATCTCATTTTCTCACTCTCCCCCTCTTCCTTGGTGTGAGCAACTGATGACCCATGGATGCATGATCCCCCTTGGGGATTAGTGCTCTAAGTCTATGGGTTATGGAA